GAGAAAACTGAGAATCATTGCCAACACCACCAGCCCCAACAAGTAGTTGAGTCTGTTCCTCGTCGGAAGACCGACGACTATGATGAGAAGAACTATACTGAGGAGCAACGGGATAAACAGAATCATCATTGATACCTGTAGAAAAGGAATTGTTCGAATTGAACTTCATCATTTCAATACTTTCGACCAGAGGCTCATTAAAGAGACTATTTTGTCGACTCATGTTACTTGTGTACGTAGTTGCATCAGTAAGAGTCGTAGTTGTAGGCGTGCTAGGAATGTTGAATGACTGTCGCGATTGTTGAAGTTGCATAGGTGTTGAAGAATGCATCGATACCGGAGAAGGCGTAATCGAGAAAACTGGGGTAGGTGAGACACCAGTAAATCCGGTACGGAAGAGGAAGTCGCCGGGGTTTTCAAAACCTTGGGGAACCTCGAGAACTTGTTCTAATTCCGGTTTCCGTTGAGACATAGAGCGCTGAAGGGGGGAAGCCGAGGTTTGATGCGAGAAAGTGTAAGAGCTGTAGGGCTGATCTTGATTAACCCAAGCTTCGAGGGCGGGATTTCCTCGGCGGAGATCATTATGGAGGGGAGGGGGCATCGCGCCGTTCTGGGTAAATGGTAATCTTCCGGAGCGTGTAGATGCACTATTCATTGAGCTTGCTCGCATCATGACGGGCTCAGATTGTTGGGATATTGTACGCGATATTCCGGTTGCTTCCATCCGATCCTAAGTTTCGTTAGAGCCAGCTCAGGGAGGAAAACCACAGGGGACTCCTACAGAAGATGAGTGTCGGGCCATGGGAGCTCCACTGCTTGACATACTTCGGGGAACATTGTGTCTTCGTTGTGTTTGTTGTTTGTATATCGGGGATCTGTGATGGGGAAACGATGATGTCGACGCCGAGCCGGATGTGAGGGATGCGATTTGCGCTTGAATTTGTTCTTGCTGTGCCAGAAGGAATTGAAGTTGATCCTGATCTACCGAAGTATTGAGTCTTAACTGGGACGACATAGCAAGTGTCTATTAGAACTTGTTAGATAGTCTCCAAGGACTTTTCGAATCGCTGGTGTATGATAGTGGAGACTGTGTCGTCGCTTGCAACGTTGTCTGCAGCCTCACGTAGTTAGTAAAGAGCATGATCACCAGCATATTTCGTACAGTAGCGGGTGCAATGAAGAGGAGTTGAATGATGAACATTAGAACCCATGACATACGTATGGATGAAGGATGCACGTAACGATGTTACGAACGGTGAAGGTAATGATAGTTCGTCGTTTGGGAATATTGATATGACACTATGGTTGCGTGGGAAGATAGGGAGGCATAAAAGTAAGGCGAAAATAATGAAGTTAAGATTGTGGAAATGGGAAAGGCGAACTATGTATTGTATGGACAGCGCGACATGGTAAGATGGGGCTCATATGAAATTGAGTTCGGGATATGGATGACACGGCAGAAGAACGGATGAAGTGTGGGTTGGGATGACTCTGATGACGAGACAAATCAAACAGATTAAACAGATTAGGATGTTTCGAGGTCATACCAAAAAAGATATGATGGGGACGGGGGGGATATACCGATGTATGAGATGGATTGTATGGGTGAATGTATGGATGTATGGGACCTTTTCTTTATTTTTTTTGGAAGTATATGAGTGGATGGGTGGATGAGTGGATGCATGGGTGGATGTATGATTTTTCTTGGTATGCCAGGATAAGGTATGGGATAAGGATCAAAATAATGATAACGACTTGATTATCTGACCTACTTTACCACATTAGGAAAAGATGAAGTTTGTTGTGGATATGTGTGGATGTGTGACATTGGGTGTGGCATTGCGTGTGGTGGTTTCTGATTGTGGTTCAACTGTAGTGGGATGAAGATTGAAGGTCGTGAGTGAGGATGAGGGGATGAGGGGATGAGCGTATGGATGGTATGAGGGCGAGTGAAGGGCGTGGTCAAGATTCTATGGTGGATCGATTTCTCGTTGTTGTTGTTATTGTTATTATGATCATCATCATCATCATATCATGGCTATGATCACGATGTGGAGGGATGGGAGGCTTGCTGCGGTAGATTCCAAATGGTTCTAACGCTGCATAGCCAATACCTTGCTCCAGAACGTCTCTCCTTCTCTCTCTCTCGGTACATCGTACACTTCGCAGATTGTAATTTGTCCAAAAGAGAGATTGACAACATAGAAAGTCACACCAGGAAGTTACATGAGGATTCAAGCAGTTACACCAAACAAAAAAGAAAGATCGTAGGTACTACTAGGTGGTAGGTAGTAGGTAGCTATGTAAACACCAAAACTCTCCTCGGTGCTATTCTGCTCCATCCTGCTCCATCAATCTGCTTGGTATAATCTCACAGGCCAAGCAAATAGAAGCAAGACATTCTGCGTTTGATACTCCCCCACGTCCTGATAACTAATCATGCCATCCATCCATCATTCATCGATGATTTTCCCATTAGAAAGGATATTTTTGAGGGCATTCGCGGCATGAAGATTCTGTAAAAAGTCTTTCTTCCGAATCCTTTTCTGTACGTCAGTCGTCATGTACTCAGTCTAGAACTAATGATCGACTTCAATTCTTACCTTGACTTATAGCCACTACTTACATTGGTCTATTGAAAATGCTTAGGTTTGTCTCATGATCAACAACAACAATAATAATAATAGTAATAGCAATAAATATTCCTTTCTGCTTCGTATCGAAATTCTTCCGTTTTATTGGTTACGATAGAAGATCGTCAATCATAACATCAATCAAAAATTCGAAGCTTCACCCATGATATTACCTACCGAGCCACCTTTGAGTTATTACTAATTCCATACACCGAAGTCTTTTTATATCGCTCGATGAAGCCGAACTGGTTTCGAAACGTGATATATCCATCAAATCATCACATTCCTTGTAGACGATAGTATTTATTCATGCTATATACCTACCTATGTGTACCGATGTGTACCTATATATAGGTATATACCCATCGACCGAGATTCGAGAAGAAAGATTAGTTAGCATTCATCTCCCTTCAAAAGCCAATTAAAATAATAAGGGTCATCATTCATTTCCAACCATCAAAAATCCCCCTTCTAAACTCTTTCTAGAACTAGACGAGAAAGAAGAAAGGAAAGAAAAGTGAAGCAACGAGTAATGATCTTCCTGTCAAACTGCGGCTCATCCCGACTGGCTGACGACTAGTACAAGGTAGGGAGGTGTTGAAATTGGAAGAAATACCGAGATACCTACGAATCCGATTGTGCCTACCTACGCGCTCCTACGAGCTACTCCAATCCAAGCAGTTATGGATTTGAGTTCAAAGCTCAGAACAACCCTGGATGATTAGCTAAGGCATTCATTGTCGCTAGTCCGCCTCATAAATTTTTATACCACCATTTATGCCAATCAAAGGTAATTATGATTGGATAACATTGATCAATCTGAGTCGGAACTATTCGTTCTCGTTGACCTCGTAAACGTGTTCCACCACAGATTCGACACGTACGGTGATTATACGAACCAACGCATCACACTGTCTGAAAATGGTTCGCCCAGGTTATTACAACTTCCAAGGTTGCCTTAATCTTGACCACTTTTACTCAAATAACCTTGATGTCCACCCATCAGCCATCAGCCATCGGCCACAAGCCATCAGCCATCACCCCCATCACCATCACCATCACCCATCAATTATCAAATAATCCCGTCCCGAGAATAACCCATCATCACAACTATCAACATGCTAGGTATCCTTTCGCTTCTTCAGAACGGGCTCTCGGTTGACTCGGTTCTGCGTTGTAACTTGTAATCAACAACACAAGCTGAGATATATCTTCTCCCAATCAACCCAAGCCTACACTACTACAATTGATGATTGGTAAGATCAGTAATAATTACACAAACATAACAAATTCCTGCTTTCTCGTCGGGCGTAGCCGCTTTATTACCTCTGCATATCGGGCAACTGGTTTTGGCTTGTATGGTATGGCCAGGACGTAGCCATCATTCATAGGTATTGTTTGTGATGGCTGTGTGCAAACCCCACGAATACGCGGCATTCTCTCATCCCCCATGTTGTCAGACCAAGGTACGCTGTATACCGTATACGTAAGGTACGAAAAGGCTTTGGAGGCATTGCGTTACCCGTAGCATAATCATCACACCCTTTTGTAAGCTCTCTCGCGTGGACTGCACGATGTTGTGGTGCCCAACATCTCGCTGGCCTTTTCTGGCCGTGATCTGAGAGTTTGTTGGATCTGCCGGATGTATTTTTGGCTTGGACACTTTGCATGGAGTATTGAGTATATTGTATTTTTGGCTTGGACACTTTGCATGGTGTATTGAGTATATTGTACCTTTGTTCTGGACCCGAGTCGATAGTCGGAATGCAACCTTCCACGGCATGAGAGAGAAGGGAAATGTGATCTTGTCATCTTGAGCAGATATGCCTTGTAAAGAGCCTGATCTATACCCATCGGCGATGCCCGGTAAATGGATTGATGCCCAGACTCTAAATTGACTTCAAAGTCAAGACTTCCAACAGCTCTATGGACAATATTTCGTTCTCCTAACTCCTTGGATGTGTAAGATTCCTCGAAACCTCCGTTTGACTCTTTTGAACCATAACACGTGACGGCAACCGCATCACCCTTCTGATTATCAAAAGATGTTACATTTTGTTGCATATCGCACCGTTGGCCGGTCAAAAATGCTATTCTCGGTATAATCTACGTTCATACATGCATTCTATTGCGAAAAGTAGATCACTTCCTCTGAGTCAAATCAGTGAGTTCATGTCATGTGCCAGTTCGGAGAAACTTGCCGGTTAAAAATAAATATGTTTATCCGAACCCCGCTGCGACACTAGCATGCACTTGACTTGCTAGTAGATGATGACAGCTTTGTGGAAATGCGATCATAGCTTGTGAACTTCGTTCCTTATCAATGGAATTTTGTCCATTTGAAATTCGCAATTGCCATACAGCACGATGCGTAAATCAATTCCAGCTTTGTTAGCTACAGCCTCAATAACATTAGCTAGTCAAAATGTGTTCAGTGTTCACGATGACTTACTTGCATTTCCACAGGTATGCGCAAGCCCAGCGAAATCATAAGCCATTCTACTACAAAGTCGTCAAAAACTCACGAAACAATAGTATGAGGTAGTATTCTCAAATGAAATTCCTTCGCAAGAGGAAGCATATTTTATCGTCAATCATCCCCATTCGCCTGTCAGATTTTTAGGAAATCAAGAAGATCTTAAAAGCATACAATCGTCTCAACACCCTATTCAAGATGATTCGACCGATCATGAATCCGAGCCTCCCAAACAAACCCACGAGCTCATGTATCTACATGGTGAAGCGCATGTATGCACAATTCCCATAGTTTCTCTGCCTCCGCGAAACGAAACCTCAGAAGCCGAAGCTCGCGCTGCTGAACAAAAAGAACTTGCTAGAGCAACCGATCGTGGTTGGGAACTACTTCAAGATTTGGAGAAAAATTGTCTATATTTCGTATCCGGATGGTGGTCATATTCGTTCTGCTACAATAACGAAATCACACAATTTCATCAACTGCCCGCACAACCCGGAAAGGCGGCATTCCCACCCCAACCGGATCCATCAGCCCAAGAATTTGTTCTCGGAAAGGCGAAGGCATCACCAAAAAGCAAGAGTAAAGAGGACGAATGGGGCAATCAAATAGAAGCGCATGAGACACCCAAAAATGGGGAATCACCAAAAACGGAATTACAAGTCAAGGGCGACATGCGCTACCTCGTTCAGAAAATGGAAGGCGGCACAATCTGCGATCTTACAGGCAAGCCCCGCCAAGTCGAAGTTCAATTTCACTGCAATCCTAATGTCAAGGATCGTATTGGATATATCAAGGAAATGACTACATGTTCATACTTGATGGTTGTATATACACCCCGCCTTTGCGACGACGTAGCATTCATGCCACCTAAAGCAGAGAAAGCCAACAGCATAGTCTGCAAACCTGTAGCCTACCAACAATCCCAATCCATATTGATCCAACTCTATCACCTCTTCACCCTCCTTGGCCTATCCTAAAAATCCCATAGTCATTGGCGGGGTAACCGTCGGCGCAGGTAAATATGTCGGTAAAGAAGGACAACGTCTACCTATCCCCCCAGACTTTGGAGATGGTGACAGCGGAAGCCGGACAGAAATCATTGCACGTGGCAAAATCAAGGCCCAGGGAGGGAAGGTCGAAGTTATTAATCCGAAATCACTGGAATCAATGGATCTCGACCCAAAAATGATCGAAAAATTACAGGAGGAAGTCAAGAAGCTGGCAGGCGATAAGGGCTGGAAAATTGAGGTTGTCGATGCACCAGGACAGGTTAGAGAAATCTTGGGAATTGTCGAGGATGATGGAGGACAGGGCCATCAAAAGGGACCCGGAAAACCTATCGAGGGGGGATCCAAGGAGGATGGTGATAAGAAAGATAGTAATGTATATGAAGATGAAGATGTTGAAGAAGGTAGCGAGGAAATATTCAAGGATGAATTATGAGGCTTCACATCTTTTTAAATAAGGACTCGGCGGGGGGGCGTAACGGATTTGTTTCACAGATATGATGTAATACATTGGGAAATAAAAGATTGTTATATATATACTTGAGTGGTTTTATTGTGATCGTAAAAGTACTGGGGTGGTTGGGTATTTGATCCACCTATGATGGGTCTTTAAGGGGATTCGCTGTGAGTGGGACACGCATTTGTTTCTCGTCTGGAAGTAAATGTGATGTGATATTCAATGAGTATTGTACATATGGCTAGATGTTCATGGAAGTATATGAAGGGGGTGGGATCTTGATAGATATTCCTCGACCTTTAGGTTTGTAGGTTGGTGGTTTGTAGGTTGGTGGTTTGTAGGTTGGTGGTTTTGTAGGTCGGTGGGTCTATAGATTTGTGAGATTATATGTTTATAGGATCTAGTTGTTGTTCTTGTCTCTTCGATGAGTGTATGGATGGATGGATGGATAGATGGATAAAGTAGGATAGTGGAAGCAGATACATTGGGTACCTAAGTTTTCTGTATGGGTGGGTTTCTAGGTGGGTAGAATATGGGGAGGACGAGGGAGGAAAGGAGGAAAGGAGGAAAGGAACGAAGATAGTAGTGGAAACTATCTATTGGGATTTCACATCGAGAAATCTATATTGAGGTGAATAGCTATCTCTCGATCAAATATTCTATACCTTCCGTTCTCCTCCGCATTTAATTTTCATACAATTGGAAAGCCTAGGTATAGATTCGATATCTCGATTATCTATGCAAAGGTAAGCATGATAGATACAGTATTAGGGCACAGATAGTAGCCGATCACTCAAATCACACCAAAACTCATCATTAAAACCAATAAATTTCAATACAATTGAATAAAAATTTGTAACTTTTGTTTATATGAATTTATTCACTTTTAATTATAGATTTCGAAAAAATTCGTAGTGTATTTTTGAAATTTTAAATGATTATATTATATAGATTTGAAATATGGAAATTTTAGGAATTCAGAATTTACTAGTAAAATAAGCGAAATTTGAAGAACTTTTATAAGCTATTATTTCAATAACAAATTTCTGATTATTTAATTTATATTAAAACTTAAAAAATTGAGAATATAGATTATTAATATATAAATAATATACATAAAAAGATTTAATTAAAAAAATGATTATAAATATTAATAAATGATTATACAAAATGTAGTAAATCGCTATTTTTTGGTGTGATTTAGGTAATCGGCCACTATCTGTGCACAGTGACTGTACACGAAGCGATTACTCATTATGGGAAAATAAAAAGATAGAAATAAGTAAATTCCTCCTCCTCTTCATCTCCCTCTTTCCCATGATCTATGATCTCCACGCTGATAGGCAAATTCAATGGAAGCGATTTCCTCCCGCTTTACTTCTGCGCGCTGAGCTGACTGAGTTTCTGCATTTTCTTCATTTGAATGTTTTTGGACGTGGAGGAGGTGTTGTGTGTGAAGTATCGAGCTGATAGGCACTAGTATATTTCTCCGGGTCTTGTCTCATTATTTGCAAAGTCCTCTGATTTTCGCGGAGACGATTTCTGGCTTTGATAAGAGCATGCAGTACGAAGATGAGGATAGTTTGCTGCGCTAGGGTACATAGAATGGTCCCTGTCATCGTGATCATGGTGCTTGCGGTGGCGATGTCTTCTCGACATACATATTCGGTTCTGTTGATTGGAATGCCGCGTTTGGTGTGCTGCTGTAGATGTGAGGTTGAAGTGTGTGGTTGATGAGAATTGAGGTTCTGTCCATGAGAAGGGAAGTGCTGTTGAAGATGATGGATGTCAGGTTAGATATGGTGGAGTGGTTGTGAGTTTGTGGGGGGGTAAGGTAGACTTTGGGTTCGGTGATGGTTTGTGTTTTCGATGGGTTGGGGGAGGAGATGAGATGTATATGCAGAATCATACCAAACTATGTACCATGATCAAGTCTTGATTTTGTCAAAAGATAAGCTCATCGATGACACTAGCCTCTCGAGATTTGTCATTTCCGTCTGTTCAATTTGACTATGTATTTGCGTCAAGAAAGATGCTGATTAGCAGAGCTTTTCAAGCAATGGTGGGCTTTCCAGTTTCAAATAGTGCTCTAAGATGCAATTGAATACAGCAGCCTACCAAAATATTGATAATAATAAGAGATCGAACAATATCTCACCACGTATACGCGATGAATCACTGTGGTTTGAATGCAAAAATTAAAGTAGGTAGATGAAATAAATGGGGAAAGGAAAGTGCATCGAGGCAGATGATTGTAATTCGAAAAGGGGTCTGAATACTCCAGGGTGGGGTGGTTGCAGAAGACAGATAAGGCGTTGAAAGATGCCAGAACGAAGTAGTATATTATGTCAACTGGTTCATTCCGAGCTGAAAGACAGGGAATTCTTCTTAGAACGTGGCTGCATTTCTGTCCTCAGATATTCATTCCAAGATCATAGGAATCAAACTTCCGATCGTAAAAAGCAATGTCTTATTTCTGCTCGCCGCATATTCTTCTCGACAGTAACGCTAGCACATAGGCTTCACCGGACTCAATAATCCTCCAGCTTATAAACTTCATAAGCCGGTTCCTCATATGGATGAACCTTAACAAACGCATTAGGAACGAGAAGCACGATAACATAAGAATCAAACTTGCTTCTTCAAAGCTGCAACCGCATTTCTGATGGTCTCCTCGCCTACACACAGGGTTTCGAACCTGACTTCTTGCACCTCTTCCAACGCACCTACAGTTCCGATATTTGGATTTGCGGTATCACCTGGTCGAAATTGAGCAGTGCCTATCGTAGCCCAACAACATTCAGTATAATTTCCAGGGCCTGGATAACGTCCAGCTCCGGCGGCGAAGATAGCAGCTTTGCAGGCTGGAAGTCCTGATGGTGGGACGAAAAATATCAGCTTGAAGCGCTTGGGTACGGCGGAGAGCGCTGTCATGTTTATGGATTGAAGTTTAAGAGGCCTCAATTAACAAAGATAGGTACATGTCGGTTGTCGTCGACGATATCATGGTAAACAAACGGACACGGACAATGAATTTGTGGGGTTCTGTTTGGCCCCCACGCCTACTTGTTGTTCAAACAAATAACAAGCTTTGTGAACCCATGAGACATTGACCATGATCTAACATATCACGACACATGTATCTTCTCATGCTGTCAGATTAGCTTTCTCAAAAAAAGTTCTACTATTGATAATTGTGGAGTCTATAAAACTCAACACTTCCACGGCTAGAGCGTTTTTTCCATTTTACAGCCTCGAAAACTGCTCTTCTGCAGTTATCAATCATCCCAGCATGTGAATTTTGGAGCGAGTTACATTACTGCCGTTATTGTGGATCTTTTGATTTACAAAAGCAAGAAACGCTACTTTACAACGATTATCAGCCTCACCGCTGAAAGGATGGATGACTTCGTACCTGCCTTTAGCCTGAAAATTACTTCCCGGTTCATGACAACCTGGGTTTCCCGAGCCGCACACGAGCTGCACTGAAGATTTCTACATGGCTATACGAGGTTGCATCAAGGCTTCTCTTCATTGATTCGAGGATGTGAAGAGAGCTGACTAGTAGGACTTGCCAAGGCTGCATGACTGCGGGGTAATTACTGTGTAGATTCGGGTTGATCAGCATTACTTGCATTGAACCTGCAGTAATATGCTTAAAGCTTAACTGATTTCACAGACATATTAAATTGATTCAATAGCTTCTTCTTGGCTACAGCCATTGATAAACGCTGAATGACAACGGTTTCCACATTTATCTGAGTCTGACATGAGGTCGATATAGATATATGAGGTCTCAATTCCAACAAGACTTGAGATGAACAGAAGATAATCTTCCATATAATTGACAAGCATTATCAAAACTTTCCATTGCTCAATTTGAGTCGGAATATTCCGCATCGTTATAATGATTTCATCACTTCCCACTCTTGGGTTCTTTCTAGTTCTTGCGGATGTCACAAATGCTGCCTTTAAACCCCCATTTAACAATACTCTTGAAAAGGGAGTAGCGACTGAATGCAAGACTTGTCCATATTCGCTTTGCACCAATAAGGAATACTACGATTACGACACTGTTGTTTCGCTCATCTGCTGGACTACTGGTACAGTCATCGATGGTGATAGGTAAGATTCAATTCCAAATGTGAGCTACTATATAGAATACTAAAAATTCTAGTACGTGGTTGAGAACAAGCGATGACTGCTATGTAACCCAATACGACCTCGCCGATTACGCTGGAGAATGTATGTATTCCTGTAGCTCAGATTTGAATACCACTAACACTAGATACAGATGAAACCGACCTCAGCTTTTGTGGCCAAGATTCTACTGTTGAGCATATAACAACCGCTCCTGCAACCACAAAATATAATACCGAATGCAATATCTGTGATGATAATGCGAGTTGTGAGGTTATCAAATATCTGAAATATGGAACTGATATTACGGTGACTTGCTGGACTGATCTTGGAGATCTCGTGATCAATGATAGGTATATCCCCATCTTCAACCTCTTTTCTTCCCATCTCACTGCAGATCAAACAGCTGACAGCGACGGAAATAGTACCTGGTTGAAAACCACAGATAATTGCTATGTGGCACAAATTGGTCTCGAAGAGCCCGCCGATAAATCAGAGCTTGACTATTGCGGCCCAGTAGGCTTTATTCAAGTAAACTACACGACACCGGAGAAACGTGCACCTTCCCCACTCAATTCTAACGAGAACTCACATGCCTCTCTCGCTAAGCACTCGCCCCCTTCCTCGTCTCACGATCTTAATAAACGGTACCTCCTCAACATCACAGTTGGCGAAGATTACGCTCCTTGCTACAGTACCCACTCCTCAGCAAGTCAATTGGTCAAGAGTTATGAATGGGATCATGGTGTTTTGGTACAATGCTATGTGAATAGTTTCGAAAATACAAATCCGAATGAGACGTATTGGTATTTTACGACGGATTTTTGTTATGTGAGAGA